CTGTAACTACAGGTGCGTGCTACCACGCCCGGCTCATTTTTTGATTTACTGTAGAGATGAGGTCTCACCAAGTTGCCCAGGCGGGTCTCCAACCAGCGGACTCAGGCAATCCATTCACCTCAGCCTCCCAAAGGCGCGGAATTACAGGCTGAGCCACCAAGCTCAGCTTATGTAATTTTTAAAACAAATATTAGTGGATATTGTTATAATGACACTAATATTTAAAGTTCATTGAATATATCAAAAAGTGACATTAATAGTTTCATTTAAAAGGTTAGCTGGGCTTGGTGGCTCAGCCTATAATCCCAGCACTTTGGGAGGCTGAGGTGAGTGGATTGCCTGAGCCTGCAGGTTCGAGACCCACCTGGGCAACTTGGCCAGACCGCATCTCTACAATAAATCAAAAAAATTTAGCCGGGTGTGATAGTACATACCTGTGGCTCCAGGTACTTGGAAGACTGAGGCGGAAGGATTGCCGGAGCCTAGCAGGTCGAGGCTGCGGTGGCCGGAAGCATGCCACTGCAATCCAGTGTGGGCGACAGAGTGAGACTTCAACTCAAAATAAATAAATACATAAATAAATAAACAAACAAATAAATAAAAATAAAAGGTCAGCATGCACAGTGCTGTTAAAATTAGAGTCCCTGCAGCTATTTAAATATCTGATCACAAATCAACATCAAGTTAAAACTGCAAACTGACATATCATGCTTTAGCTTCTTTTTTTTTTTTAAATATAGAACGCTTCATTAATTTGCATGTTCTTTCTTAAAGAAAAATAAGTAAGAAAAAAAGTGCTTAAGTTCCACCACAAATAAAAATGCTTGATGTTATCTAAGATGTAACCCACTTTCAAGTCAGAAGTGTAGTTTTCCCTGAGGGCTCTAAAGATGCCAGGTCACTGGCAATATTGACAGGAAACTGGAAAGATATGGCAGAATGGTTGGAAAAACAACTGCCTCTTCCATTTTCCTGCCTCGCCAGTTGTCAGTTTCCTATGGCTGCTGTAAGAAATTACCACAAATTAAAATGACAGAGATTAATACTCTCAGAATTCTGAAGGCTAAAAGACTGAAATGAGAATCACTTGCTTGAATTCAAGGTATAAGTAGGACCGTATTTCCTCTGGAAACTCTAAAGGAGAATTATATCTTTTCCTCTAAGCTTCTGGTGGCTGCGGCAGTCTTTATCTTGCAGCCACATCATCCCCAGTCGTTAAGGCCAGCATCTTCAACTCTCCCTCTGCTCATTTTCACATTGCCATCTCCCATGTGTATTTGTTTCAAATTTTCCTCCACTTGTCTTATAAGGATCTTTGTGATTGCATTTAAGGCCCACGTGGATAATCCAGGATAATCTCACCAACTCAAAAATCTTAATTTAATCACATTTGCAAAGTCTTTGCTATTTGATAAAACATTTGCAGGTTTCCGGGGATTAGGTATTTCACTTTGGGGGGGGCAAGTTTTCAACCTAACACACCAGCTCTGGAAATGAAACTGTTCGACTCTAGCAGAGAATGTACTCAAAAATACTTGTAAAGGGAGTGAAAAATCACCACTTTCTAAAGTAGAGCTTCCTTTTTGTCTCCATACTAAATTGTTTCTCCATTTGGAAATGAACTCTTTTCAAATCAACCTTCATCCTGGCATGCTGCTTTACATGACAGCACAAGCAGTCTCTTTGAGTTGGTCTTTCCTCTTAGTCCAATTTTTCTTGATAGATAAGTCCACTGCCTCCAGTTTGCTGGCACTTCTTTCATTCATTCATTCATTCAACAAATATTAAGTAAGGAATCTAGGCTTAGAAGTCTGTAGGTATTCCTAAGGAATGTGAGGGAAGAGTATGTCCTGGTTAAGAAAATAAGAATCAAAACCCAAGGTAATTTGAAATCTCCCAGTAAGTATTCATCAAATACCCATTATAGTTAAGGTTACTAAGTTATTGAATACTCACTCTGAAAAAATTTTCTTTGAGGTGGGAGACGAAACAGTAAAGGAAAAAATAATATAATAATTGATACTATCACACTACACATCTTCAGAAGTTATCATCTGTAAAGGTGTTTTAATGGCTTGGTCCGCCTGTCTTTCAACCTCCTATTTTTCCTGTGATTTTTTTCAGGCACTCAAGTGGGCAGAAACCATGAGAAATTTGAGTCGGGGCCACATAGAAGAGTTTGTCTTGGTGGGCTTCCCTGCTTCTCCACCTCTCCAGCTGCTTCTCTTTATCTTCTTTTTTGCAATTTATATTCTGACATTGTTGGAGAATGTACTCATCATTTTCACAATCTGGCTCACTCCAAGCCTTCATCACCCCATGTATTTTTTCCTTGGTCATCTCTCCTTCCTTGAGCTATGGTACATCAATGTCACCATTCCCCAGCTCTTGGGAGCCTTTCTTACCCAGGAAGGTAGAATCTCTTATATAGGATGCATGACCCAACTCTACTTCTTTATTGCATTAGCCTGCACTGAATGTGTCCTGTTGGCAGTTATGGCCTATGACCGCTACCTGGCCATCTGTGAACCCCTACGTTACCCTAGTCTTATGCCTCCCAGCCTGGCTACTCGCCTTGCTGCTGCCTCTTGGGGCAGTGGTTTCTTTAGCTCCATGATGAAGCTTCTTTTCATTTCCCGACTCTCCTTCTGTGGGCCCAACATCCTCAATCACTTTTTTTGTGATATCTCCCCACTACTCAACCTCACCTGCTCTGACAAGGAGCAAGCAGAGCTAGTAGACTTCCTCCTGGCCCTGGTGATGATTCTACTTCCTCTCTTGGCTGTGGTTTCATCCTATGCTGCCATCAGTGCAGCCATCTTGAGGATTCCTACTGCCCAGGGACGCCACAAAGCCTTCTCCACTTGTGCCTCTCACCTGGTAGTAGTTGTTATCTACTACTCC